GGCGGCCATTATCGGTGTTAATAATGCCGTTCGCCACTCGTGCGTTCGCGACCATTACCCGCCAGCTTTTTCTTTTCACCGTCGTCGTTGGCCCGGCTGCGTGACTTTAGAACTCGGGTTTCCTCGATCTCTCTCTCTCTCTCTCTCTCTACTCCAGGTTGGGTACGTTTTAACGGTCTCGCGAACGACCGTTTTACACCCGACTCCAAGCTTTACGAACCCTCATTATTTTTCTTCCTCCTTCGCGAGAAATTCTACTCGCCAACGACTCGAGCGATCACGATATCGGAGATTTGTTATTGTTGTTGACAAACAGACGGATTTTTACCCGAAAAGCGTAAAAGTCGATATCGAACTCTATTAAAATTAGGAAAACTTTGAATCGCTGTAACTACGAAAATAATAACTTCCGGTCAACGAGCGAACGACCATTGGAAGCGCGGAATCTTGCGCTTTAAAACGTCTATTCGTTTATCCCGATACGACTTCCGGTTTCCGAGATATCATCGTGCAAAGGAAAAATAATTTTTAAACCGTTTGCTTTAAACCGAATCGAATCTTATTAAAATTAGAAAAACTTTGAATCGCTATAACTTCGAACGTAGCAAGTTTCGATCAACGAATCAACGATCGTTGGAAGCGTGGAACCTTGCTCATTAAAACGCTTTTTCGTTTATGTCGATACGACTTCCGGTTTCCGAGATATCGTCGTGTAAAGAAAAGTGTAATTTTTGATCGTTTGCTATCTTCTCGGGCCTCTCGTTCGCACCTCGTTTCATTGACCTTCATCCCAAGTTGCGGACAAGTGGCAGACGTAAAAAAAAAAACATAAAAAACGTATTACGCGTTTCCAGAAAAAGATATATCATTGAATCGCGGAATCCATTCATAATATTAACACCATTAAACTTTGAATCGTTATATCTTGGTAACGGATTGAGATATCGGGATAAAACAAAAACTGATTTCAATGGTATGGTTTCGTCTACTTTTTGATGAGAAAATTTTTTATTTTTTTTTCACAAGAAAATTTTTCACTCGTGATTTTGCAATGATTTGCTGCCATGTGATCTAAAGTTAAATTTAATTTTGTACTTTTAAATTTATATTTATATTATATTATTATACAATAATAAGTACAATTTCTAAATGGATCGAATTAACCATTGAATTAAGCGAAAAATTGTTTAATATTATTACGTTTCACGTATATTATATACTATACATTTGAATCGTGTCGACATATTTAAAAGCTTAGAGAATGGAAATAATTTTTTTCATTTTGCGTAATATTCCCGATGTCTCGAGAAAGGAAAGATTCAGCGACAGATGTTGGAAGCGAGAAGAAGAGTGTAACGTTGGTGGAGGGGAATCCGTCCCATCCATCCAGCTTCTCTTAGTCTTTCGCCCCAACCAAATCTCTCGTATCGTTGTTCAACGTATTATCCACCAACCCGAGTTTAAGCCCGCTCAAGCGCGATGGCCGACTTCATCTTCGTGCTTCTACTAACGCGTAACCATCCTCTTTTCTAATTAAAATACTACTAATCCTCTAAAAAAAATTAACGATATTAACGTGTTACAAAATTATACGAGTTAACTTTATTATTAAAACAAAAAATTGAACATTATATTTTTCCTCGATATATTTATCTCTTCTCTTTCAAATTTTCTTTTTCCATAATTTTTCTATAATCTTAAACTGTATAATTCAGAGAAAATACAAAAGATTATCCCTTAAATATACATATATACACCAACGATATTCGAAAAAAAAAAAGAAATAAATAAAAAAGCAAAATCTCAAGCTCGAAAATTCGCAAAGCACGAGCCGAAAGAATAAAAAAGAATAAAACAGAAAGAGAGAAAGAGAGAGAAAAAAAGAAACGCAGAATAATCGAGAGAAACAATCGGCTGGATAAAAACGAGGGAAACTAGGACAAACGAAGTGTAAACTGCGAGAGGAGTAGAAAAAAAAATAGAGAGAGAGAGAGAGAAAGAAAGAGAAAAGAAAAAAAAAAGAAGAGAGACGAAGGGAAAAAGTAGAACTAACCGGAGGCGGAAGCTACAGGCAACGAGAGGAGGATAGCAAGGGACGAAGAGGAGGAGGAGGAGGAGGAGGAGGAGGTGGAAGTTGCACATTGTTCTGGATTCTACATCCTGTAGTGGAAACTTGGGTGTAACAGCCCTCCGATTCGAAGTTTAGTGCTGGGCTCCTTGCCAGCATCCACGATGAACCTTAACCGCATCCACGAAAGGAGGGATGGCGCGGATTATCTCTCGAGTTCTCTCTCGCTCCCTCCTCGGTATCATTATGAAAACCATCGCCTCCCCTTTACGACGCGCTGTATAATACATCACCGACCGTGGAACAATGAACGCTCGTTTCGATGACTTTTAAAGATGGATAATCCATTTACGTCATTTCCTTTCGACCATGTATATGCGAAATATACATCTCTTTTCTATCCATTCATTCTTTTTTTTTTTTTTATCTTTTCAAAGAATAATTATTATTCATTAGGCCGAAGAAACCTACACCAATATTTTTATTATTACGTGTTCTATCCTGTTTTTCTTATATATAACATTAGACAATTATCTATTATAGTAAACACAGTAAAGTTCAAAGGTTGCAATCGATTTAACTGACTTGAAAATGCCAATTAATGAGAAATTACGAGAAGTGAGTTATAGCATACGCCGTAAATAAATCGTATATCGTGATTCACGATATCCGTGATTGTAATCATATATTCCAACACGATTTCTTGGACATCCTCTCCTTCCAACACGATTCAAAAAAATATCACACGTATCTTCCCTGTGCTTTCGAGCTTTCGAAAAATCGAGTCTACTCGTTATTAAAAAAACTGCCGTCAAACGAAACTCAACCACTTAACATCTGCCTTCTCTGCACCTGTCACCTTCCCTGCAATAAGAAGGATGGAAGATGGGGGAAAGGAAGGCGAAGGAAAGGGAAAGAAGCGCAAAGCCAAAGGGTGGAAGGGTAAGAGACTCTATCGAGAAGTTGTTATCAGGTTTCCATTAACGCGTGGAAGATTGGCGGGGCGCGAGAGAAACGAAGATTACCTATAGAGACAGAGAGAGAGAGAGACAGAAAGAGAGAGAGAGAGAAGGGTGAGACAAAGAAGAGCGAAAACGTTGGAGGTGAAAATTAAAGGGAGAGGGTGAAAGATAGGGGGAGAAAAAAGGAGGAGGAGGAGGAGGAAGAAAAACGGTAGCAATAGCCGGGGAACGAGGAGAGAGGAGAGAAGGGGGGAGGGGTGGCACTTTCCACGGATGACAGAGGCGGCGTATCGTCGTCGCGGGGAGGAGGGGGGCGCTGGCGTCGCGTCGGGACGCTCCACGTCTTATCGTGGCATCCCCCTTCGAATCTCACACCCTCCTCCCCCCATCCTGGCCATTCCACCAGCTTTTCCCCCCTCCCTCCCCGCGCGGCAAGCAGTTCTCGTCGTCGAGCCAAAACCCAGTGACGCCTCGACGCGCTCACCCAGAAACCGACGATAAGGTTCACCCAGCAACGCCTGCCTACCACCGCCGCCTTCGAATCCACCACCCCCTTGTGTCCCCTCCGTGTGTATATATATATATACACGTGCATATGTATATATATATATATATATGTGTATGTATGTATGTATGTATATGTATATGCACGAGATTCGTGCACGCACGTGGGATATTTATGTAAGAAAAAAATGACGAAGGGTCTCTCTCTCTCTCTCTCTCTCTCTGTCGACGACCCTTGAAAAAGGAAAAGAGGGAATGGGGAGAAGTCAGGGTCAGTAAAAACTCGAGGCGTCTCTCTAGGATCGATCGAGTTTCGAAGCCGATCTATCAAGGATTTTTCCCGTGATTCGCGGGATTTTCTCTTTTTTTTGGGGGGGGGGAGGGATGGGACGAGGGTGAGTTTGAGTTGAAAATTTCGGAGTGGGATCGGTGACAAAGTTTTTTTTTCCGAGCGATTCAATGGTAATTATTATTGATATTTTTTTTCTTTTGAAAATTTTACACCAATCTTAAGAGAAAAAGAAAGAGATTTCTTTTTTTTAAAAAAAAGCATCAAAGTTTGGAATCGAAAAGGAATCGTATATATAACTTATCAAGCGAAGATGAGATAGATGGAAATTCGGAATTCGTTGTAATCGTTCGCAAAGAGATTTTCATTTTGATAGAAAGTAAAAATTAAGGGAGATCGGAATTACGCGAAGAATTAATGGATAAGCTATTTAAAATACAACGAATATACCGTGTTCCGTTTTTGAATTAATTTAAATCGGGCAATTCCGTAATTCCGTTCGTTGTTCCATTTATCGCGCAATTATTTATAATTGGACTATATTGAAATTTTTGTGGGGATAAAGCAGAAGAAAGGATTCAAAAAAAAATTTACAAGAATCATCGTATCATATTTTTCTAATCGCTATATTATGAAACTCTAAATCGATTTTTTTCTTTACATTTTATTCTTCCATTAATCATTTTATTTATAATTATTTTACACTTATTTGCTCTTCATTTAACAGGATCTTCAAACCCTTTAGGATCAAATTATAATAATTATAAAATTACATTTCATCCATATTTTTCAATTAAAGATTTATTAGGATTTTATTTAATTTTATTAATTTTTATATTAATTAACCTTCAATATCCATATTATTTAGGTTAATTTTCATAATTCAATTAACGAATCAATCGTACGTATATTTCATGTTTATCTTAAAAAAAAATTTCCAATTCTCCTCCCTATCTTTTTTTTCTTTTTCTTAAATTCTCCGATTTTATAAAATAACTTTCGAATTTTTCTTCACCCGACATACTTCCTTCCTTCCTTCCTTCCTTCCTTCCTTGCTCGAACGAAAGGGTCAAAAAGTTTTAAAAAAATAAGTTTGAAAGAAAAGAAAAAAAAAAAAAAGAAAATATCGCTTTTTCTCACGCGATTGAAATCAATTGTTCTGCTCTTCGTTTCGTAGTAGCGGAACTGGAGGGCGGTGCACACTCGGACGAGACGAACAGCGGCGGTGACAACAGCAACGCAGGGAGCGTGTCCGGGGGCACGGACGATGATCAGGCGCGTCTTCGCTTAAAAAGGAAGCTTCAAAGGAATCGCACGAGTTTCAGTAACGAGCAAATAGACGCGCTCGAGAAGGAATTCGAGAGGACGCATTATCCAGACGTTTTCGCAAGAGAGAGATTGGCCGGAAAGATTGGTCTGCCTGAAGCTCGAATACAGGTGGCTATTATATTTTATACCCATATACATTCATTATTTTAACCTTCCAAGCGTGAAATACTTGCCGCGATTACCGCTTTCCTTCTTTCCTTCCTCTCTTTCGTTTTTTATTTTATTTATTTCTTTTATAACAATCATGGGTTATAATCGCCTATTCGTATTCATCTTTGTAAAATATTTTTGTTTTCTCCCTACAAGTATAATCGATACGATCGATCCAAATCTAAATTTAAATTCACCGTCAAATATATACGAACTTGTTTCAAATTATTACGATATTACCATGATATATTGAAAACAATTAGTAGAATTCGTGTCCGAAAATCCGTTTCTACCGAATCGCAGAAAAATCCATTAAACTTGTAATAAGCTTCGCAATATAATATAGGATTCTCGTTTACCAAAATTAATACGTCGATTAATCACGTACCGTAATCATTAATTCGAAATAATTATTATTCCAAATAATACATCTTCGTGATTGACAACATCTGTTGAATAAAAAACAAAATCAGCTGACGAGTTGTCCATCGATCGTCCGATCGATATCGCGCGGGAACAAAGTTGTTTTTGCTGAAAAATAAAGAGGGAGTGAGAGAGGGATAAATTAGAAAAAAAAAAAAAAAAGAGAAAAAAGTCGGAAACAAAATCGAAATTAAACGGAGAAACCTGTAGCCTAGCGATTGACCTGTATCTTCGTCTGTCTTCTCGTTCACTAACTCAGGTATGGTTTTCGAATCGGCGGGCGAAGTGGCGGCGCGAAGAGAAATTGCGCACGCAACGGAGGGACAACCCGCAACACCAGCAGTCGCAGCAGCAGCAACAGCAGCAACAACAGCAGCAGCAGCAACAGCAGCAACAGTCCCAACAGCAGCAGCAGCAGCAGCAGCAGCACGCCGGAGGGGTGAGTCTGGTCACCGCTGGTCATCCGACACCACCACCGGCCTCGGGTATTTTGGCTGGTCAACCACCGCCGCAAGCGCCGCCCTCTCCACCTAGGATACATCATGGTTTCGCGCCCACCGCCGTTTACCCCGGAATACCCAGCATGCCTGATTCGTACAGGTGAGAAGCAAGTTGAATAATTACCGAAATTACCCGGTTGTTCCCCTGCAAATTAACCGGGAATTGGAGCAACTCCAAGTGTCGAAACTCTGCAAAGTTTCAAGTTTCAAAACTTGGTTTAAGGAATAATTCGTGCAAGTTGTTATAATTTGAATATACAATATTGATTAATCTCGTATGGAAGAATTCTAAGAGGAAATAGGTTAAATTTTCGAAAAGCATTTCGAAAATTTAACAAGAGCGATGAATCCGAAATGATATGATACAATAATTTTAACTTCCGTTGTCAACATTTTGAATTTATGACTCTTCTTAAATTTTAAATCGATTCTTGGAATATATATATTTTTACATTACATCCGAAATGATATGATACAATAATTTTAATCTCAGTTGTCAACATTTTGGATCCATCACTCTTCTTAAATTTTAAATCGATTCTTGGAATATATATATTTTTACATTACATCCGAAATGATATGATACAATAATTTTAATCTCAGTTGTCAACATTTTGGATCCATCTTAAATTTCACTCTTCTTAAATTTCAAGTCGATTCTTGGGATATATACATTTTTACATTACATCCGAAATAATATGATACAATAATTTTAACATTCTGTTGTCAATATTTTAGATCCATCACTCTTCTTAAATTTCAAGTCAATTCTTGGGATATATACATTTTTTTAAAAATATAAAGAAAGAAAACTAATAATAAGGATTTATTATATCACGAAAAACCTCACTTTCGACTCACTTTCAAATATTTCGAAGATTCGTAATTCTCGAATAATCATCATTCTCGTTATGGACAAAGATTGATACATTTCGAACGATCCGTTCCAGTCCCATGACGTCCATGCCGAGTTTCACGATGTCCGGCGGTGGCCAGCAGAACCAGCACACGACGAGCAGCATGTCATCGTTGTCGACGGGCGGTGGGATGGGGCCGATGGGTATGACCGTGGGCATGACGGTGGGCCCTAGCCCGGGCGCGTGTCTCCAGCAACGCGACAACGGTTATTCGTGCGGCGTCGCCCGTCCACCGAGTTACGAGCCTCTTCACCTCGGATACGGGGCACGGCCCACGTGCAGCCCCACTCAGCCATACCACACCGCGGGCCTGAACCAGTATAATCAGAACACCAGCTCGACCGGTGAGTGTCTACCGCACTCACTGCACTCGCTGCTTGCACTTTAGCCGACGGACTACCACGGATAACACGCTATCCAGCTTCCCGGTAATGGATTATATTATCGCTTCTGCGTCTACCCAAGGCCCTCTTTCTTCTTCGTTCACACGGTCGTTCACACTGTTCTTCTCTGCTTTCAATGGAATTTAGCGAGTGGTTTCTTTTTTTTTTTTTTTTTTAAATCGATGATGGGTATTTTTTTTCTTGTATGCTTTTTTTTACGGCTTGCTTTAACAAGGTTTTTTTTTTCTTATCGGTTGGTCCTGTAATTTAAGAAGAATTGATCGCTTGTAGTAGGTTGTACTCGATCAGTGTACAAGTAAATCGATATTCATTTAATGAAAAAATTCCGATTTTAATAAAAGTTTGTGCGTTAGAGCGTGATGCTTTTTATGTTGAAAATATTCGTGAAACGTATAAAATCAATCCTAGGTTTTTTTAATGATCTTTTCTTTTTTTGAATGCAACTACTTGTAAGAAATATTTTTTTTTAATTAATAATGGAATATATATTTGAATTTGTAATTTGAAATTTTGTTCCATATCGTACTTATTATATTTAAAAATACAATTTGTTGGTTGAAGTCACGTGTAAAGATTTTTCTTACCGATTATACGTGCATTTTTATTGCATTGAACTTTTTATGTATTTGGTATAACTTTTTTCCAATTTCTTTTTTTTCTTTTTTTAATCATAAAATATATAGTGAAAATAATATAGTTCGTGATATAACGTGATAAAAGTAGTTCTATCGTAAAGATCTGCAAACTTCAAGGTGACCGTCTTTTTTTTTTTTTTTTTAGATAATATGACATATATTTCTATTCTCAGTATAGAGTATGAGATATAAGTTTAAAAAGATATGGTAAAAGGTCATTTTAGGTCACAAAAGGTCGTAAGTTAATAATGAAAATATAGTCACTTACACGCTACGTAATAATTATTGATTTAGAAATTTAATTTATACTTATATATTCAAACAACTATCCAAATAACAATAATAAAATTAAAATATTCTTCTTACCATATTTTACTGTCTTCTTATAATATTCAAAAGAGGAATAAATATCGTCCGTCGAATAAATATCGAAATTCATCTTCCAGATATTATTCATTATAACCTTACTTTTTCCCTTACGATACTGAAAGGAGACGATTGGATAAATTTCAAATCTTATTTACCAAATTTTTACACTTACTTACTTACTTTTTTGCGAATACCTCCTACCTTTCGTTTTCACGATACGCCAAGAGAGGATAAATCGAATAAACTTGAAATTGATTTCCAGGTTTGATATCGCCAGGTGTCAGCGTACCGATCGCAGTACCAGGCCAACCAGCACCAGACATGGCGGCCCAATACTGGTCACCGAGGCTGCAGTGACCGTGGTGGTCATCGGTGTCGACATCCTCTCCGTAGGCTCGAGCTTTGACTTATATTAGTCTTAACAAACGAGATTAGATACGTGGGAACGCAAGGAGAAGACGTTCGAAATCGATGAAAAGAACAGCCATTGCAATTCGTTCGATGGAATCGATTCGATACTTTTGTCCTCGACGATTATCGATTGCCTTCGATTATCGATCCAAGGCGGTCTCGTAAAAATCGTTCGAAGAACGTGCAAAAAAGAAGAATGGAGAATAATGAGGATGTTAGTGGAACTTGTAAAATAAACGTCACAAATGACGCAAAATTTATCGTATGGAAAAAAAAGAATAAGTTTTGCTCGCTAAGAACGTTTTTTTCGCGCGAGATTGAGAACTTTTGTAAATTAATAGGCGTGTACGGTTAATGGTATAATAATCGTTATTTAAAATCTTCTATCTAGCATTTCTTTTTTTTTACATTATTTAAACATCGTAATATTTTAAATCTTTGGTGCTTGGTATTCTTGTGAAATTGTACAGAGATTAATTATTTGAAAAATTAAACATTATCTATGCGTATTTGGAAATAAAATATAAAATTATTAAATATATAAAATAATAAAAAGTGAAATTTGAGTTTTAAATGATTCATTTACGAACATTTAAATTATTCCATCGCAAATCTAAGCAACTGAGATTGTTAAAAAATCAAAAAATTTATTTTCGTTTCGAATAAATAATTTATTTTATAATTACAACAATTTTTCAACAACGAATTCTAAAAATCTAATATCTTTGATACATTTAAATAAGGTTAGAAAATTTTATATATTTTATAGAGATCTAGAATCAAATTTAATTTATCTTTTTCTTAAAAAAGAACATAGCGAAGAAAAATTCTCAATTTTCACACATATTCGAAATGCTAAATAGAAAACTAAAGAAAGTAGAATATAAATTGTACAAATATAAAAAAGATTATTTTCTATCGTTTCCTCGATCGATGGATATAAATTTTCAATATTTTTTCGTCGCTTTTTAAATTAATCTTTTTTAATGTATTTATAGCAGACATATTAAGTTCAAGATTTTAAGACTCGTACACGCCTAAGGTGTGATGAAAAGATACACTCTTGCCTCCAACGGACACACAAGAAGAACAACTTCGTCGTAAACTTGCGTATCATCGACGTTGCAAGAGGAGAACTAATTAAATTGTTCAGAAAATGCACATAATCAAACAAATGATAGTTGCGTAATGTTTAAACTGTAAACAATAATTATCTCTTAATGATCTCGTTTATTTTCTTAATCTATTTGAATTTTTTTTTTCTCTAGATATCAAAAAAGTTCATCGGTCAAACTTATTTTAAAAGGAACAATTTTATCAAATAAAAGTTAATTATATATATAATAGTAATTCTTTTTTGTAAATATTATAATAAATCTGATCAAACTGAATTCGAGGATTTTTTGAGATAGAAAGATAAATTTTTAATTTTATTTTTAAAGTAATTGATCTTGGAAAAATCATGAAAAATGATCTACTGAAATGAAATTGCTATTCATATATATATATATAAAACACTAATTTTGAATGAGAAAATTTGAAAAATATCCAATATGAAAAGGAGAAAAGAAATGATCCCAAATTTTTGGCCGATAATTTTAAAAGACATATTCTTGACAAAGCAATTTTTTTTTTGATCTGTAGTATAAGAAATAAAATTTATTTTTCAGAATGTATGCAGTTTTGTCTCGAAAGAAGCCTCATTTTTATCTTGTACATCGCGAGTTACGATGAAGATCATTTAGCAATGGATCAAAATGAAATCTAGTTCTCCATGGTGATTTATGACGACACCATAGGAGAAATTTCTTTGTAATGAAGCTACTAGGTATCGAAATTTTTTAATATGTCGTTAGCATGATTTATTATGTAACGAATTGTTTTCGTTTCGATTCGTAATTATATAATTATATAATAATAGGCATAAAGTATCGGTGTAATACCTTATCATCGACCAGTGAAAATAATTTAATTGTTAGAAATCATCGAGGCATCCGTTCACCATGAACGTTGAAAATGTTTTGTTAAAAGCGGCAATATGATACAATTTTTGCGAATAAATTATGAAAAATTGAAAATGTATTGGAATAGACACGTATCGTTTCACGTTCAAACCTTATATTGTAAATATTTTTCAATCGTTTATTAGAGCTATATATCTATACTTAGGATATTGGGAAAGTTTTGTTTTTAAAAAGATCTTTCGACATTCATACGCGTAAAATGTAAAATTTTATTATAATCAACATCAATCGTGTATCTAATATAAAATTACAATAATTTTAAATATAAATTACTATCTTTTTTATTCTATCATAATTTTTTTATATAATATTTTATATATAATAAATAAAAATTATTTATTTATTTCATTTTTTCTTAAAAAATTCTCTTTAAAAAGAAATTTCTATATTTTCATATTTACTGGTGTTTTATATATATATCTTGATAAATGGCAAAACTTTCCCCAACATCCGACGTGTTTTCTCGCGAGAAAACTTTTTTTGTATAAAGATTACGAGAGACAAGAAGCTTGAATCAAAATATCTCGTTCTTCGATGCAAACTGTTTAATTTCGTCACGAATCGAGTACCACCATTTTTTCTGATTCCGATTTCATTAATTATAAATGTAGATTAAAAGCGATGAGAAAAGAAAAGAAAAAAAAAAAAAAAAGGAGGAAAAAATTCATATCTGAATCAGAACAGCGAGCAATTCGAAAGAAAAAGAATTTGTATAAAAATGATAATAAAAAAAAAAAAAAAAAAAAAGAAACAAACAAACAAAAATAAAATTGTACAACACATTCGTGGATTATTAATTTTTTTGTAGCGAAGAATATAAGTAAGGAAAGAATGGTATCGATGGAAGAAAGAGAGAGAAAAAACTCATTAGCAATGGAGAAAATCTCGCAGAGATTTTAAATCAGTTTCTTAGACGTAATTTCTATAGGCGAATAAATAAAAGAAAAAAAAAAAAAAGAGCGTAAGAAAAATAGTTTTTAAGTCGATATTAATTTATATTCGTGTAAGAAACCGGGGAGAAGCAAGAATAATTGAACGTTTGTTGTGTGTACACCGTAAAGATATCGACATTTATATTATAGTTGATTCTATTCAGCCCCCCCCCTCCCCCTACTTCATCCAAATATCTGATTAAAAAGCGAACTCATAATTTATATCCGGTGCAAGATTTTGATCAACAAGAATAACGCGAAACCAGGTATATTAACCGTACGATTATGCATTCGAAATAAATAGTGTGTGCATTTAAGTTATCTATGATCTTCACCACTTACCTTTCAATTCACCTTTACGCATTAGAGTAAAATACTTTGTATGGGCGAACGATATATCTTTATTACTTACTTTTCTCGATCCTTCATTTATAGAGAAAAAAATAAATAGTAGATATTTCACATTTATTTGAAATTCTAATAATTATACGTGTTTATTTATTACCTTTTTTTTTTTTTTTTTTAATTTATATTAGCTTAAAAATTATCGATATTGAACATCTCTCCATCTATAGTAACTATCTATAGTAACTTTTATTAATAGCTTTTTATTTAAAGAGAGGTATCAATTTCGAAAAATAATATCTTTTTATCTCTATGAAAAAGAAAAAATTATATAAAAGAATTTTACATTATCTTTATAGAAAATTCTTTTTATAAAAAATTGTAAATATTGATTTTTAAATTAAAACGAAAATGATTAAAACGAAAATTTCAAAAGTGAAATATTCAAAAATCGATATGCAAAATATCTTAAAATAAATAACGTAAAAATATTCGTATAAGTTTACTTTTCAAGTTATAAGTAATTTAATTTTGCACTAGATGAAGTGAATGTTGATATAAAAAAATAAATATAATTTTTTTCACTATTTATATAAAAAAATTTCACTTTTTCATTTATATCGATAGCAGGTTTGATAAGAGGGATAAAGAAAAATAACGTCTAGTAGTTTGCAAATATAACAATCGTATTTATTCCTTTAATACTTTTCATTGACACAATCGCATCAAAAGGTACTTCGATTTATTCTATGTTTCCAGAAAGGAAAATTACCTGTAGAAATATCGAGAAACTGTCGATTGCAAAATAAACAATAATTCACAGAGTTTAAGAAACGACATCAAACTTACCTACTTCTAATTTTTTATTTATACAAAAATCCAATTTACGTAACAATTAAAGATCCCAAAATTTATTTTATTCACCTAAGCATATGTAAGTTGATTAAAAGAGAATTGAACATTATTCAAAAATTAAATATATACCAAACAAATTCTCGAGTTTATCCCTAACATAAATGAATTAATTGTCACTTGAAAATTTTTTTAATAATTTTTTAATAATTTTAATAATTTTTTAATAATTTCAATTTTATATTTTTTCTCGATTAAATTGAATTTTTTATATTTTTTGTACTAATTTATATTTTCAATATTTTACAAATATTCTTAATATAATTTGTATCTTTTTGAGCGAATTTCTAATAATATTTCTAAATTAACGATGAATAAAAAAATTATTATCCTATTCTAATGTTCATTAATACTAATGAAATATTAGATAATACTAGTGAAATATTAGAAAACTCTTCGAAATTTGGATAATTCTAAATTAAATAAAAAAGATAAAAAAATTGCTCGATATTAACTTATTTAATTATTCTTATTTCTTTTATTTTTATATTTAATGAAAAATTTGGAATAAATTAAAAGATGGAATCGATAAAAAAAATCATTAATTTGTAAATAAAATTTCACTTTCTATAAATTCAGACTACATTTATTTCGATGTTTATTATAATAGTTAATTAAACTAATTGTTTAAAGTATTCAATTCTATTAAAATCATTCTACATAGCAAAGATTGTAATTGATAATATTTATCAATTTCTTTAATTTAATAATAAATTTTTATTTTTAATATTCTTTATACTTTTAATCAAAAAGTATAATGTTACTTAAAAATTTGTTTTCTTTCGTTTCATATCTATTTACAACATATCCCAAATTGCTTAAGAAGCTAAACGTCGTGCAAATATAATAAAAATTAAAATTATTATTGATTATGTTGAACCACGAAAAATATTACTCCAAAATAGAAATAACTTCGATAAAAAATAAATAATATATCGAGGTGAAATTGCTAATTCGGAAAAATATACTTTTTAAATCAATATGTCTGTAATAACTTATTTTTAAAGAAATAAGAATCTTGACATAATCTAAAAAAAGATACATTCGAATGTTACTGTTTTAAATATCTCATTCTATATATGAGGATAAAATATTTTCATTAACTCGTTTAAAATTTTAAATGTTGTTGATACATCTAACAAAACTACTCGTAAACCGTTTATTATATAAAAATTGTAAGAAAAAAATCTATGAGAAAACAAAATTTTCTTAAGTTGAAAAATACTCTAATTAAGACCAGTCGATTTTTTATACGCGATAATAATTATAAGTGTTCGATACTCTTAAATTTAAGTTTTTACAAAACTTATTATGTTGATACGAAAAATTAAAATAAGATAGATCGTAATAATAAGAAACAACTGAATGAAAGAAAAATAATATTATTATAAAAACAATTTTTTATATAATAAACAAATTTTACGAGGAAAATTCTACGTAGTCAAATTAGAATCATTCTATATATAGAGGGTATTTAAAAATAGCCCTAAGCTTTAAATCCCTATTTTTGTATATCCTGTATATAAATATAATACGTACAATGACGTACAAGAATTTCAATCGTTATTACTTTAAGTGAATAAAATGCACATAATTATCCAAAAAAATTTACAATAAAAGGAAGAAATGCATTCGTTTTCAATAATTATTATATCATGATAAAATGCTATAACATAGAAACGTAAAAAAGCATCAAATAAAATATATTATATTAAAATTATATTATTATCGAAAGAAAAAAATACTAGAATAATAAATATTCAACATTAATGAACCATTATTTAACCTAAAATCGAAATAATTTTTTTTCTCACGAATCTGATCTTTCTTATCGAATTCTTCTAATAATTTGATAATTTCTAATAATCCTAAAGAAAAAAAATAGGATTATAGCAGAAACTGAATTTTATATTTCAGGAACATAAATTCCGCTAGAACATTCGACAGAATATAGAATCATTAGATATCGATCGATGGAAATCAAACCAAATGGCAAAACATTTCTCCTCCTTATTCATCAATGAACAACAAACAGAGAAACGATCAAACCGAATTCTCATAAGTACCTGTCCCTTTGTCAATCCTTTATTTGCTTCTTTCTCAAACAGAAGGTTTTTCCTTAAGCAACGCGTCGATGTCTTTCAATATATCATCTGACGCCATGTCCAGTGTTAGATAATCCTCTTCGTTTATATTCAACAAACTGTCACACGTTTCCTTCGAATCCTCCACAGTAAATGTACCGATTAATTTCTTCTCTTCATTCTTTTCTAATGGCATTTGATCTTCATCCGTACTGCTGTCGCATAACCTAATTTCCACTTCATTCTTCCTAGTTCTATTATTCGTACACACTTGCTCAAAATTCAGTCTTTCCACGGACGTGGATTCTGGACTATTTCTAATTGATTCCACATTATTCGCTTCAATCCGCTTCTCTTGGCTAGTTTTCACTGTTTTGTTTACACTTTTTCGGTTTTCGATATCACTATCGAGCGAGATAAACCTTCTTGGAGATCTTCTGTTAAGTTTAACAGGTGGCGCACCAGTAACAATGAAGGTTGTACGATCAACGTTACAGTTCACTTTACGCCTAGATGTATCTTTTTTTTCTTCACAATCCTCTTCTAATCGTCTCTTTATCCCCCTTGCGGAAATTGTCTCGGTTAACGTATTCATGGCTTCTTTCAGATATTCTGTAGTCGTCAATTCTTCTTTTTCATTGATTAAACTTTTCGATTCCATTCTCTTGACTTCTGTATTTCTACTAATCTCTAGTAGATTTTTTTCAAGATCTTTGTGCGTCTTCCGGCGACGAATTTCATCCAATGAGAGAACCTCGAAATCCAATCCCTTCTCGTTATTCTTATCTTTATTGATCACCGAAGGATAAAGGCAGATCCGTTTGGTCCTACATGTCTTGATTTTGCCACCACTCATGTCGCTCTGGTAGTCCTCGGTCTGATAAGAATAGTAGGCAGCACTTTCAGCTTGTATCTCCTCCAGACGAATCTCCTCATACGTCTTGCAGTAAGGAACCCTCGGCTGCGGCTTTACAGGAGACGGTACACTTTCATTGTCCGACTCTGGAAGAAACATATCATACGAAATTGCAGGGATATCTTTGTTTAAATTCATTGTTTTTTGATCAATCGAACGAGGATGGACCACGATGTTGTTAAAGAATCCTTAGATATCTTTCTCGTAACACATCCTTTCTATTTTTATTTAGTTTTTTTTCTTTTTTATTCAATTTGGGAATTTGATTCAACTCCTTCCAAACTTATATTTTTTTTAAAATTAATCAAAAGATCCTTAATTAACTCTAGTTAACTGATAATGAGTTATATAATCGTAGATTAAGACAAATTTTGTATTTCTGATCATATATTCTTTTTATTATCTTATTATTTATCGTTTTTATTTATTTTATCGTTATTATTATCATTTTTAATTTAGATTTGAGTAGTCTTTGATTTCCACACAGACACAGAACTTATAGGGGGACGTTTGAGTTCTCTAAACTAGAAAATTTAATTTCAAAGTAGAAACAAGGAGAGCGTATGTAGTACAATTCCAATACTTTGATCGATATTCCTTGGATATGAAACTATTGTGCGATCCATCTTTGCCTCTCTTCCTGCAGCCAACTCTGCCTTTTCTCCCTTTTTTTTTCTCTCTTTCTTTCTCTCCTTTTTATACAATACTTTTTCTCTCTTTTTTCATTTAAAAAATATATATATTATTCCTACAATTTAATTCTCCTACAGAAGTCATAAATAAAATTAATATATCTCTTATAGATATTAGAAATCTATTTGTACGTTCTACTTCTTCAATCTTTGCAATCAGGCAATTAAATTATATTTTTGAATATAATTACTATATTATACTATATTATATTATTATTATTATTATTATTATTCTTCAATAAGTGAATTATATCATCGTCATCATTCTCTTCTTGCATATTCTATTTTCGTTTATTCTCTTTCTCTCTCTCTTTCTCTCTCTGCTTTTCTATCTAAATATCTCTTTGCTGTCTATTAATCAATCATCATCAAAAGGTTTCTTTGAAAATTCGTCATCTTTGGATTTTTTTCTTTCTCTACGTTTTTAATCTCATCTCTCCAGGCTTCTATCTCCAAGTTTGATAAAAAAACAATTTGAAAAGTACTTCACGAATCATCCATGAACATTAGAAATCCTTCTTTTTCTCTTTCTCTCTCTCTCTCTCTCGTTTGATTTTCTTTCTTTTCTTTTGTTTACCAAGAATAAGAAGTAGTCACACACGTGCCTCAATGTCACAACACGACAAAAATAATCGTTCATCATCAACAGCAACGTTGTGCAAAAGAAAAAATTTCATGAAGAAAAAATAATTAGAAAAGCGAAATTTCCAGCGAAATTATTATCTAATATTTGTTTCTTTTTTTTTTTCAACAGTTCGTCGAAAAATCTTTTTTCTTTTCTTATGTCATATATATATTTTTTTTTTTGTTTTTTTTTTGTTTTTTAATTCGGTACAATGTTTGTGAACGGTTTACAAATTAAATAGGTCATCCACTTACTGCCACATGTGTCATAATAATTCTGGACAACAATTGGGTGTTGAAAAATTGCACACAATATATCATTATGTGAAATTCACAATTTCAAGTATCGCATATACAATTGTTACGCAAAAGGATATTGAACAAGTTGATTAACAAAACAACAAATTATTAAAAATTGGATATTTCGCAACGTGTGATATTTTGAGATTTTGAAAGACAAGACGGGAACGCAACATATGTCGCCAATTTGAAAGAAAAACTATCACAAATGCAATAATTATTCCAACATTAAAAATTTTTTTAATAATTATTTATTGACACAGACAAAAAAAAAAAAGAAATTAAAATGAAATTGAATATTAAAATCCTTTCACAAAAATATCCGACACCTTGAAAGAATAATATATCTATATATATTTCTTTGGTCTGGACTAATGCAAAAATAGCGCCAAATTAGAATGAAATTCATTTGCTATTTGCAATAGTTTCACTTACAACGGAACTTCGGTTCAACGTACACATATCCGCATTTGTAATAATTTTATATATATATTTAAAATTAAAAATTTCATTCATTATTTTATAATGTAACATAAAACCACTAAATTTATTCCAATCATTTTTTTTTTTATATAAACTGTATATAATTTTAATGCTTTAAAAAAATCCTCTCCGAAGTTCCCTTGTCAACCTCAATGAATATATTCGATACAATAAATGCAAAGAAATAGTACCCTCAAGAACAAGTCGACCAGCATGAAAAGACGATTAGTCTTCAATTCAATTTTTCAGTGAATCGCGAAAAATATCACTCTTTTATAAGTTCAAAATAAGAAAGTAAAAAAAAAAAAATCGTCTTTGTCACACTGGTATTAATTTTCCTTTCGTTTCATGGCATCAAGTTTATTGAAATCCAAATAATTATCTCGGTAAAAATTAATGTTTTCCATTCGTTTACATTGATTAGTATGGAATTATTTATCGCATATTCAGCATAATCTCTCTCGCTCTTGCTCTCGCTCTTGCTCTCGCTCTCGCTCTTGCTCTCGCTCTCGCTCTTACTCTCGCTCTTGCTCTCGCTCTCTTTCTCTCTCTCGCTCTCTCTCTCTCTTTTTCATTCACTTTCAATCAAATCTTTTTTTTTATGAAATCGAAGGAACCTGCTCGACAAACAAAAAGTTTTACGAGATTTTGTGTAAATAAATGCAACGACAATTTTCTTTATTCATTTTATAAATACTTCTTAATTTTTTTTTCCGGAAACAATTCGATCGTTAATTTTATCTTTTTTTTTTCATTTTCATTCAATTTTAATTTTGAACATTCTAAAAGATATAATTATATTTCTTTTTCTTTTTCTTTTTTTTTTTTGTTAATCTGCATTTTTTTTTTTTTATTCATTTAATGATAATTGAAGAAAAAGATATAACATTTAACTTTCGAAAATTGTCGTTGAACAAGGGATCACACACGAGTTCCGAAACATAACTGTCATGGAATACGTGCGTTACAGTTCGAGGAAAAAGACATATAAGCCTTCATAAGTAACAATTATTAATACAACAAAGATACGGATGACAAATAATAACGGTCGCACTACCGCGCGATGGCCGCAATAACAATAAATAAAAAAAAAAAAGAAAAAGGAACAAGATAGAATAAAAGTTATAGATCGACGAAATAATATAATTCGAATAGAAGTCCATCGCTCGGAGGACAATGATTAAGAACAATGATTGCAGCTGGACGCACTCGAAAATCAACAATTAAGAAAAAAAGGTTAAAGATCGAAGAAAAAAGAAAAACAAAAAAAAAAAAAAA